TAAGACATTTGGGATTAACCTAGTATCTTTAACACGAGACTAGCTAGGGCATATAGTCTAGCCTAATGACTGAAAACCCATTAAACACAAGAGCACTCGAAATCATGAATAAAGGTGCATCTGTCAGGGCGTATGCACAAATACTAATCATTCAAGAAATCATGAACCAATTAGCATTTTGTACTAATCATTCAAGAAATCACGAACCAATTAGCATTTTGTCAGGGCGTATGCACAAAATACTAATCATTCATTCACACGAGCTATTCAAGATTAGCTAGGGTGTGTAGTCTAACCTTGTCTCACACAATCAATTGATTAACATTAAAGGTGATCAAACAATAACATCAATTAAAGATTGAATAAAGGATAATGAATAAAACTAGAATTGCAATGGATTGGAAAGACAAATAGAATTAATAAAGGCATAAAATCTTCTTATTAGGCTAATTGGATCCCTAGAAAAGTATTTAGTTACACAGGAGCATAAGGAAATCAAACCTCAAAATCTTGAAAACCATGAAGTACAAGAAGAAGAAGATGAAACCCTAGGTAAGATCTCCTCTCCTTGCCTCTTCCTAATTATATTTGATATTATAAACCCTTACTCCCTAAAATATTGCTAAGGACATCTATTTATAATATTAAAGTTGTGACGGTATTATGGTAAAAAGTTATACTTCAATTAAAAACGCATAATAACAAATCTGCACATCTCCAAGCACTAATGTAACTTTCGTCTCCATTTTTAACCATATTCCAGATCGTACTGGGTCAAGATCAAAACATAAAAGTTGTAGCTCTATCTCTTAACTTTAAAATTCCACCAGAACCAAGTAAATCGGTGTTGTGTAGCTCAAGTTATGATCATTTTCGTGCAGCATGTTATAGCAGAAAAATTTCTGAACAAAAATTCCCGCATTGTGCCGTGGCATGAAGTTTCTGTCCCTTTGGCAATTTTATGCTGTGATATGGGAAGAGTTTTGCTGCGGCGAACAATCTTCAAAAATCCATAACTTCTTCGTTTGAGCTTCGATTCTCAAACTGTTTGTTCCTACACGCTTATGATTCTTTCATCTTCAATGTCCATGCTTGAAATCCTCATTTTTCAACACCTAAACACCTGAAAATTCACAAAACATACCCGTGATTCTAGAAAACAAAAGAGATAAAAAAATTAAGTAAAATTAACCAATTAATCCTACTTCCCTCAAAAATGCCCTTAAAATCACTAAGTATGAGTGCATTTCCAAGCACTCATCACAACCCCTAGCCAGCTTCTTACTAGTCCCTAGCAACCGTAATGATCTAAAATCTAGTTCTAACTAACCTAACCTAAACCATTTTCGTAGGTTGACATGATTGCATCTAGTGTATGCAATAAGCCTTTAAACCCCTAGGTCTCCCTAGTGGACAAGTTATAGTCTCCTTAGGGTTTACAGTGATGTTGCCCACAAACATCCTACAAATCCTAACTAACAGACAAACATTCCGTATAAAATCAAAACAAAACAAAAGTTTCCAAACCAATTCATATAAGTGTCTCAGAAATCATATACACACACAACATAGAGAATAATCAAACATTATCTTAAATCTAGGAACATCTTAAACATCAATCTCACCTTCGTTCTCAACTCTCTAACGTCCATTAGTCCACAATCTGTCAATCCTAACACCAGAGATAATTCCATATGCAACATCCATAGACAAAAAATTGATCCCAATAATTGTGAAATATGAATGAAATTCTGTAAATACAAACTCCATAGGCCTACTTTTCAAACCACTCTCCTCTAATGTAGAAAAATCACATAACTTTAGATCCTTCGGACTTTATTGAGTTTGTAATGTTTAGGCTAAGGTATTGGGTTACGAAAGAATGGAAAGGAATCGACAAAACAAGAGGATTAATCTTACTTATTTTCAACATCATCGCTCAAAGCATATCACATTCTCTCTAAATTTCCCAAGCTTTTGTTACGTCTGTCTTCCCAACCGCATTTGCATTTACACACTTTCCATTCTTCCTTGATTCATTCATTTTTTTTTTCTTCTTTTTTTTTTAAGAATTTTTTTTTTGTTTTTTTCAATGAAACTACAGTTAGGAAGCATGCATATTACAATCTTCCCCTTTTTACCTTGATATTCACAACACACCACAACCCCCAACCTATTCTTTTGAATACCCTAAAGATATATATATATATATATATTTTTTTTTTTTTTTTTTGAGAAACACTTTAACCCACAAAAAACACTCTCACTTTGAATAATATTCAGATTAAATCCTCTTAAAATCATGGGTAGAGTAGTGTGTTTAAGGGATAAAAGGGTATGTTATTGTGGTATAAATGAAAGAAAATCAAGGCTAATATAAATTCAATATCGGCACAAAAGGGTGACAAGAGATAATAAAATATAGGTTGGCTTGAAAGGCACAAACGATCCAAAGATGGCCTAAGTCATTTCTTCAATCATGTGTTGTCTAGGATCTCACCTCAATGGTCATCAAATAGGTTCTAGAATTTGGAGATCTCAAAAATGTCATAGGAAAATCACACACAAAACATCCCTCAGTGCTAAAACTAACCCACCTTACGAACCACATTCATGAGAGTCTCAAACTTAAGCAAAACCAACATTCAGAATTATTCCTAAACTAAAGTAAAATTTGACTTGTTCTAAATGCCCATGTCATTGCAATCATGTTATTATCATTGACATATAAATTAATTCAGAAAAGCTTAAACACACTCAATTAAAAATAACATAAAAACACACCAAATCTAAAAAAAATAAAAATTCAATTAAGAAAATTCAAGAAAAGGGAACTTCCCCACCCCCACCCCCAACCTAAAACCTACATTGTCCTCAATGTAACAATGAGAAAAGAAAAACAGAAAAGGAAAGAGAAAGCTACCCCCTTTTAGAGACATCATCAAAACCTGTGTGGCGCCATGGTGCCATTTTCATTACGCCGTAGCATCAAGTTTCTACCTAAATTGCCTTATGTCTCTTCCTTGCTATGCCATAGCATAAATATTTTACGCTGTGGCATGAAGCTCTTTTCTTTGAAAACAATTAAACCATAAAATACAACAAAATAACCTAAAACAAAACAACGCAAACACTTGGAAAACAAAAGAAAATAAAACCATAAATTAAATTAAAGAAAAAGTTCAAAGAAAAAGCTTGGGTTGCCTCCCAATAAGCGCTTCATTTAACATCTATGCTACACAGAATACGCGGTCTCTAGTGCAAGGAGGCTTCCTCAACTCAACATCAGACGTCTTTGGTATTGTGCTATCTATGGCCTCTAAATACTCCTTTGCTTCTTCATCAACAAATTCATTATCCTCTACAGCCAAAGCCAACTCTACTTTATCTTTTGTCTCAACTTGCAAAATACTAGAGAAAATAATTGGATCCATAGAATCAACAAGAAAACACTCATTAGCTTTAGAAGGAGAATACAAAGAATTGAAATTTGAAAATTCCACAGTTTGATCAAGAACCATCATTTTGAGTTTTCCATTTTGCACATCAATAATTGTATTTGTTGTGGCCATGAACGGACGTCCAAGCAAAATTGGCAATTCATTGTCAAACTTTGACGGCGTCTCCATATCTAACACCACAAAATCCGCAGGAACAATCAATTTATTAAAGTGAATTAAAATGTCCTCTACAATATCCCTTGGATATTTCACTGAACGATCAGCTAATTGTAGAGTCATTGTTGTAGGATTCAGCTCTCCCAATCCCAATTGCTGATAAATCGAATAAGGCATAAGGTTGATGCTTGCACTCAAATCCAACATAGCTCGCCTTCCCTTTTTATTACCAACAGTATTGTTGATAATAAAACTCCCAAGATCTTTCAGTTTGGGTGGTAATCTACTCTGCAGCACCGCACTAACTATTTCAGATATCATTACTATTTCATGAGGCTCATTCTTACGCTTACATGTGGTCAGCTCTTTGAAAAACTTTGCGTAGGCAGGTAAGTTCCTAATCATGTCAAGCAAGGGTAAATTCCCATTAACTTTAGACAAGATATTATAAATTTCAGAGAATGACTTATCCCATTTGCTTTTCTTCAATTTGCTCGGAAAATGAATAGGTGGAACATAAGACTTTGGTGGAGCAACAATGGGACTAATCTCCTCATTTTGAATGGCTACACTTGGTTGCTTCTCCTTAGCGCTATCTTCCCCTGCATCATCATTTAAATTCACATAAGTCTAATAATTAATTTCTTTATTAATTATCTTACCACTTTGTAGTACTGTGACTGCATTTGCTTGCTCAGGTTGGCTTGGTAATTTCCCAGGAACATGGCCATGTACTGCCTTCGCTACTTGTCCTATTTGAACCTCCAACTTTATTAAATGATGCCTCTTGCTGCTGAAATCTCTGTTCAAAATTCTGTTGGTTTTTCTGAGAAACTTGAATAAAATTATTCAATTGTCTCTTCCAATGAAGGCTTCCGCAGTTGATTATTAGAGCTCGCTTATTGCTAATTGTTACTCCAAGAAAAATTGGGATGGGTCCTCCATCCTAGATTATAAGTATTCAAATAAGGATCATGAGCCTTTGGGTTGTAGGAACTCATCATATTGGCTTGCTCAACAAACTCTGGAAAATTTCCACGAGAAGAAAAAACGTTAGTTGCGTGATCAACAATACCACAAATAGCACATACCTCGTTGGAATTTCTTAGTCCTTGTCCCATCATCATGTTGCACATAGTTTTCATTTGCTTGGTCAATTCTGAAACCTTCATAGCCAAATCAGTGTTAGTATTTACTTCATATATCCCTCTTGATTTTCCTCTAATACTTTTCTATTGTGTATTTGCACCAAGAATTTCATACAAATCATAAGTCTCTTGTGCAGTCTTCTCCCCTATAGCACCACTTGCAGCATTATCAACTATGGCTTGACAAGCCTGTGTCAGTCCATCATAGAAAAATTGATTCAATAATTCTAAAGAAAAACTATGATGTGGACATTGAACCAAAAGCAATTTAAATCATTCCCAAGTTTCAAGGAATGGCTCACCTTCAATTTGGGTAAAAGTAGCAATCTTATCTCGCAATTCAGCAGTCTTGGCATGAGAATAAAATTTACCTATGAATTTATTATAGATTTCATCCCATGTGGTAAGTGAAGCTGGAGCCAAAGTCATATACCATGTCTTTGCTGCGTCCTTTAATACGTATGGAAAACACCTCATCCGTAATTGATCTTCTGTCAAACCCTACAAAGGAAAAGTCTGAATAGTAGAATAAAAATCATGAATAAAAGTAAAAGGATCCTCTGAAGCTACTCCATGAAAAGATGGCAGCATTTGAAAGTGAATATGTTTAAGCTCATAATTTCTTGCTGCATCATTAAGAACTATGCATGACGATGACATTCCAATGGTAGGATGTGCATACTCTTTCATAGGATGAGGTATGTTAGTCATTTTCTCTTCAGATTCAAAACTTGATTCTGGGGATTCTTCAGAAATTTTTGGTTCCTTCCTTGTCCTACCAATCAAGTCTACTTTATCGATGTATGGAAATAATCCTTTGTCCAACGATTGGTGACCTTGCATTCACTAACTAAAAACACAAAAGATAGCAAAAACAAAAAGGAAACCTAGACAAAAATAAAGCAAAAATTAAATAACAAAAATTAAAGCACACATTATCAGAGAAAACTGAGTAACTTAAATCAAAACCTCGGCAATGGTGCCAAAAACTTGATGAATAATTTTACTTCCTTGCAAGTGCATGAATTGCTATTGTAGTATAGTGTGCAAAAGCAAGGTTCGATCCCACAAAGATTTGTAAGTTATCAAGTAATCCTAATAACTATGCCTTAATTAAACAAATAAATTCAAGAAAATTAAACAACTAGTGATTAAAACTAAATGTAAAAAGAAAATAAAAATGAACTACTACTGACTGAGCCAAAATAACACCAATAAAAACTAACTTAATAACCAATGAACTACAACCTTGGTATCCAATTTCACCATAATAATCCAGTTTTATGCCAACTATCTAACTATTGTTACCACAATCCAATTTCTAGGGTTCCTACTCACATAATTAAGGTATTACCGTAAGACATTTGGGATTAACCTAGTATCTTTAACACAAGACTAGATAGGGCATATAGTCTAGCCTAATGATTAAAAACCCATTAAACACAAGAGCACTCAAAATCATGAATAAAGGTGCATCTGTCAGGGCATATGCATAAATACTAATCATTCAAGAAATCACGAACCAATTAGCATTTTGTCAGGGAATATGCACAAAATACTAATCATTCATTCACACGAGCTATTCAAGATTAGCTAGGGTGTGTAGTCTAACCTTGTCTCAGACAATCAATTAATTAACATTAAAGGTGATCAAACAATAACATCAATTAAAGATTGAATAAAGGATAATGAATAATACTAGAATTGCAATGGATTGGAAAGACAAATAGAATTAATAAAGGCATAAAATCTTCTTATTAGGCTAATTGGATCCCTAGAAAAGTATTTAGTTACACATGCTAAGGACAACTATTTATAATATTAAAGTTGTGAGGGTATTATGGTAAAAGGTTATACTTCAATTAAAAATGCATAATAACAAATCTGCACATCTCCAAGCACTAATGTAACTTTTGTCTCCATTTTTAACCATATTCCAGATCGAACTAGGCCATGATCAAAACATAAAAGTTGTAGATTTGTCTCTTCGCTTTAAAATGCCACCAGAACTAGGTCATCGGAGTTGCGTAGCTCAAGTTATGATCATTTTCGTGCAGCATGTTCTGGCAAAAAAATTTCCAAACATAAATTTCCTGCATTTGTGCCGTAGCATGATTTATTGGCCCTGCAACATGAAGTTTCTGTCCATTTTGCAATTTTATGCTACGGCATGGGAATAATTCTACTACGACAAACAATCTTCAAAAATTCATAACTTCTTCAGTTGAGCTCCGATTCTCGAATTGATTGTTCCTACACGCTTATGATTCTTTCATCTTCAATGTCCATGCTTGAAATCCTCATTTTTCAACACTTGAACACCTGAAAATTCAAAAAACATACCCATGATTCTAGAAAACAAAAGAGATATAGAAATTAAGTAAAATTAACCAATTAATCCTAATTCCCTCACAAAATACCCTTAAAATCACTAAGTATGAGTGCACTTCCAAGCACTCATCGGGTGCTACTATAAGGGGTTTTGTAAATATGAGCAAGGCGTTGGCTGTTGATGGTTGCTTTTTGACAGAAAATTATGGAGGTACATTGTTGGTGGCCACTGCACAGAACAATGAGAATCACACATATCCCGTTGCATGGTGTGTGGTTGACTCTAAGAACGACAAGTCGTGAACTTGGTTTTTTTAGCAATTACGTAGACGAGTTGTGCATAATATCTGATAGGCACAACTCTATAAAGAAGGGGATTGCCACTACTTACCCTCAAGCACATCACGGATTCTGTATGAGGCACCTTGGTGAGAACATAAAACAAAAATTTAAGTGTGCTGGCCTCCTTCAGACATACTACATGGCAGCAAAAGCTTATCAAGTTGATGAGTTCGATAAGCACTTCCGGCAAAACCGAATCAAGGATGATATAGTTGCCAAGTATCTTGAGCATGATGTTGGTTTCGAGTGATGGGAGTAGAGCTTACTTTCTTGGAAGAAGGTTTGATGTCATGACCACGAACATAGCTGAGTCCATAAATTCAAAGTTGTTAATAGAAAGAGAGTTTCCGATAGTTGCCCTTTTTGATGCAATCCAGAGGACATTGTCACGGTGGTTCCATAAGCATCATACGGAGTCAGATAATTTTACCACAACCCTTGTTCCTTTAGCTAAAAAATTATTGTGAGAACGTATGGAACTGTCAAATGTATTGTTTGCCTATCCTCTTAATGCTCAAGAGTTCACCATGTGTGGCTATGGTCCGAATGCCCTAGTTAATCTTCTTAGTAAAACTTGCAGCTATAAAATGCTTGACATTCAACATTTACCTTGTCCTCATGCACTAGCAGCATTGAAACACCACAAAAGCTGAATTTTGGTTCAAGAACTTATATGGAACTTTGCTTCCTTGTCTATATGGCAAATAACTACATGCTGGCTTATTCGAAAACAATATATCTAGTTCCTCTAGAAGAGTAGTGGGTGGTGTCGCCAGAGTTGGTTGACATTATTGTTGGAGTAGGTTCCTCAGAGCTAATCAATTATTATGGAATTGACTCTTTGTAATGATGTTTATTAATCAATAAAAGGCATTATTTACTATATCATGTAAACCACAGTTGTATATATTGATATTTTTCCTTAGAATGGTAGAATCGTGACGAGGGTATCAAGTGTTTCAAATCTTGATAGTGAGTCCCTATAAGCACATATGGTGGTCATTCTAGAAACGTTCGTAGCCCTAGTATTATTCTGGCCAAGGGCATAGATAATTGATAAGAGTGTAATTTACATATTTTTATTCTTTGCATATTATGTTTTTTGTTATGTTTTATGCCTATTTGAGTTTATTAGAGTTTATTTTGTGAGTTTGGCATATTTGGATAGACTTTAGGAAATAAGTGATAAAAGATTAGGAAATTCCAGATTTTTGTTATTCTGACCAGTGCTGCGTTTTTCAGGTTTTTCATGGAGTCAGATTTGTCGATTGCAAAAGTGTTCTTCAGAAAAAGTAAAGTTGACGAATCAAAATTTCCAGGATGGTATTATAGGCGAGAATCCGAGTTCGTTTGGGTCTTCGTTAGTTGTTACAAAACTGGACTTGGAATCCTAGTCGTGGAAGGATTTCCTGGCTAAGTATTGAATCTTCGAACGGGCCTAACTAGAGTGTCAGATATCGAAAGCAGGTGATTCAAAAGCCCAAATTCATCTACACATCCTGGACTACAATTTTTATGAAGTGAATGAGCCCAGAAAAGATCTTTTACATTGCGAGAATCCTGGTGCAAGCTGGAGACGAATTATGTTTTCCATATTTGATAAGATTTTGACAAATCTGGAAGTCTATCTTCTAGGAAACGTCTAAGAAAGAAATTCCATGATTCCTGGGGTAGAATTAAGGAAAAAACATGTTATTTATTGATGAGTTGTTAGGTTAAAAAGAGGGGAGAAGAGAACAGCAGTAGTTTTTAGTTTTTTCGGTTTTCTTTTACTTTCTACATCAAGATGTGAGGCTGATCTTTCTTTTTCAGTTCAAGGGGATTTTGAAGCCTAAATTTATGTCATTGGTGTAACCTAACTTCAGTAACATTATTCTTAATCTTGTTTTTATTGGAATTGTTTATGTTATTCTGTTTTAATTGTTTATAATTTTCTGTTAGGGTGATTTAGTAATGGCCTGCTGAATTATTTAATCGGAATTTTATCTGTTAGAATTAGGAATTGTGATCTGTAATTGTCCTTTTTCTATTCAATGGGTAACACATGATGATAGATGATTATGGACAAGTTTTCATTCTGTCATCTTGAATAACACAACCTAAGTTAAATAATACAAGCTTTGTGATTGTTGTTTAGATTGATCTATTTTCCTAATTCTTGAGGCTGCCATTGAATTAAACTTAGAGAGCTTATTCTAGGTTGTTCGAGGGTTAGGATCTACTTGAAGAACTTATTTCAGTAGTGACGATTAAGGAAGAATTCAGGTAACATAGCTTGTTGTTTCCTAGGGTCAGTAATTCCATAATAACGAGATAGAACAGTGTTACGGTTAGTTCATGTCCAATGCATGTTTAGGTGGATCTTGAACCGAGAACTGATTGCTTTTAATCTGATATTTTCTACCATTGTTTGTTTTACTTTAGTTTGCCTTGATTACAAACCCCTTTCATTACTCTGTTGTGTTGTCTTGTTCACTGTTTAGGGTTTTATTGTGTTGTTTTCATTGCAGCTATTGGCATAGAATATAGGATTTAATCGAATCATTCCCTGTGGGATCGACCCTTGCTCAGCCTATATACAATTTAGTAGTTAGGTTAGTAAGGTTAATTAATTTGGTGCATTCGGCACGCTACCAATAATACAATAAGGCTATCATAATGTTCAATGA